CTATGTTAGTATGAGTCTGTTTAGCTAATAGCCTATTAGGTTTGTCTTTGTTTTTCAACTGTCTCTACTATATAAAGAGCGGCTGCTTTCTAGAGCTGCTTTCTGAATAAAGGTGTCGAATAATTCAGTTAAGAAAAACATAGGAGAGTTGGTGGTCTCTAAAACAACCACCTATGTGTTATCTGTTTATGATAGCTTCTTCAGGAAGATTCGAAACGTGAACAAGGAAAAGTTTAGTGATTTCCCCGTTAACAGACCTGTGATGAGATCCTTAACTCGGGATCATAACAAATTGGTATCAGAGTTGATCGTCATGGGTGATTACGAGCAACTAGCAACTAAGGTTGAAGCTCTGACAGAATCCAATCGCACGATGGGTCAAGAATTGCGGGAACTCAAGGATGGTATGAAAGCTATCCAAAGATTGCTGGAGTTGCAATCATTGGACAAGGGTAAGGCACCAGAAGCCAAAACAGGATCTGGTAGCAAGACTCGACCGACCTACCAACCAGCAGCAGTGAATTTTGAGGGCTGCTCCAGTGCCAATGTGGTTCCCAGATATTCCAGATTGGAGTTTCCCTCTTATAGTGGAATGAAGGATCAGTTGGGGTGGCTTTACCGTTGCAAGTAATTTTTCTTGAATTAACGAACTGAAGAAGGAGACAAGGTAGGCTTGGCTGCCTTTCACATGAGTAGCGAAACCCAATTATGGTTCTTTTGCTTGGAACAAGAAGAACTGATCATTACATGGGATCAATTCAGGTCCTATTGTTTATTGAGATTTGGACCCCCATTGAGCAGCAATCCGCTAGGCGAACTAGCCAATCTGAAACAAACGGGCACTGTGGAGGAATACCATAGTCAATTTCGGACTCTATTGGCTAGAGCGACATCGATAACAGCAACTCAACAGATTGATTTGTTTACAGTTGGGCTTATTGACACGCTGTGTGTGGATGTTGAGATGCAGCGACTCTCTAATCTGGTTACAGCTATGAATTTAGCTCAGCTTTCGCCAGAAAGCTGCAACTCTCCGGCAGAATTGGAGTGAGAAGCACTCCTTCTAACTGGTTTCTCCTAAAAATGACAGGTTCAACTCCTCCACTCACTATCAATCATGAATCAAAACAAGTGGGAGGAAGTTTGCCCGTGGTTTTTTACACGAGAAGTACATCAACGTATTTCATTAAAAAGTTATCAAGAGCAGAAATGGTGAAGAGGCGAGCAAAAAGACTTTGTTACAATCGTGATGAATCTTTTAATGTTGGGCAATGGTGTAAACGTCTGTTTTGCTTGTTGGTGGACGACTTCGATGAGGAACTAGACCCACCATGGATCTCGAAATCTCCCCTCACGCCATAACAGGGTCTGGGAATGCACCCTGATGATGCTACAAAAGAATCAATCACTTTCCTGCAGGACACTTATCCTCATTTTGAGCTTGAGGACAAGTTCAATGTCTAGGAGGGGTGTAATGTTTTAGATCAGCAGTATAGAAGAAGGCAGTACCGCAAAAAGGGAAACTAAGATCTTGCGGATATTTATTTATTGCTTTATTTGTTATTTATTAAGAATAATTCAGATCAGGAAAATGATATGAGAGTCCTAATTAGTGTGATATTTTAATTAAGACTTTCTATGTTAGTGTGAGTCTGTTTAGGTAATAGACTATTAGGTTTGTCTTTGTTCTGCGGCTGCCTCTACTATATAAAGAGTGGATGCTTTCTGAATAAATGTATCAAATAATTCAGTCAAGAAAAACCTAGGAGAGTTGATGGTATTTAAAACAAACCACCTGTGTGTTATTTGTTTACGATAGGTTCTTAACAGAAGAGTCGAAATGTTAACAAGGAAAAGTTCAGTGATTTCCCCGTTAATAGACTTGTGACGAGATCCTTAACTTGGGATCATAACAACATACAATAAATTGTGCTATATTTAGAATATAGGTCATATCTTTTCTAGAAGTTTCTCGAGTGGAGGATAGGGTTTTGCAAAAGAAAATCAAACCATTCCTTCTGCTATGGAGTGTCTTCTGCTATGAGTGCTTTTTTTTTTTTTTTTTTAGTTTTTCGCCCTTGCAACAAGTCCTTCCTTGTTCCTGCTAGCTGAGATAATCCATAAACTGGCACATGAAGAGAATCTTGTTTATGTCAATCCTGCAATTAGGAGCATCCAAGTTAGTTGTTAGGTATCATACAGCCTTTTGGATAGCCGCAAAAGTGAGCCAGCAACTGGAGGACCGAAAAGTAAACCTGGTCAGAGGGAACAAAGGCAGTCCATCTTACTACCTGGAGCGCATTGTCCATTTCTTATGTGGATTGTATGATAACCTCATTGAGTGGTATAGACACAAAGCACTTTCAGGAAAGGTTTCCCGAGATTTCTGCACATATTTTTAGGCAAATCTACATTTTATTACTCTTTTCAGTTAGCAAACTTGTCTTCCAACCTCAGGAATGTTCAAACTTCAAATTGATGTTATTGAGCTCTGTAATTTGTCAAGTGAGTTTCTGATAACAGGTAAACAAGACGGGATAAGTTGATACCAAGTGCTTTGCTTGTTCACTAAAAGTGGTCAGGTAGTTGAAGGTTATTGTGAAAGCAGCAAGCTGTAAAGTGTAAAGTAGGCACCTTTTTTTGGATGTGCATATTCCCTGACTCCTTGCCATGAGAATCTAATTAAAGTGTTGTCCTGTCGATGCAACACATGGTGCTACATGGATAGCACCATGGCACTAACTTGTCTTTGTGCATGCTGCATCTTTGATGGTAGAGTTATCAATCTTTTGCTTCTTTTGCTTGAAGACACCAGACACTGGTATCCAGGCTGCTTCTTTTGTTTTGGATGGGGGTGCAATACTGGTTGATGGCCATATATGTTTATGTCAGTGAAGACTCTATTGCTTAATTGAACAAGCTCAAACCTTTTGGAGTTATGATTATTAGGTGACTAAGTGCCTTTTGGAGGTTCCATTTTCTGTCCAAAATTTAGGTCCCTTCTATCCAAAAATATGCACTGGAAAGGAATTCAGCCAGCGACTGTTAACAAGAAACATATTACCTTTTTTAATTGAAAAAAGAGAAAGCATTAACTTCAGAAAATAGAGCTGTCAAATTGTGAGCAAGTTTACAAGACATCAGAGGAAGGTGGTATTTATATGTTGGCCACAACTGCTGGCTTTCTCATTCTCTTTTGTTCCAAGATGTAGAGGACACTCTGTTGTCGTTATCATGGAAGTTGGCTGTGTCTTTGTTTTGGTGATTTTTTTTTTTTTTTTAATAGCCTTTTTTGCTTCTTGATGGCTAGCAGTGCTATGTGCCATTATGCTTTTTTCAACAAACAAATTTATAACCTTTTCGCTTTCTTTACATGAAAGATTTTTTGACCTTTTGGATGAAAGGTTTAGTAAAACAATCTTACTTCATTCAAATGGAAGATTCTGTTAGGCAGTCTCACTGGCCAAACCTGAGTTTCATTTGTATGCGATTATGGTATTATGAAATGTGAATGAAGTTATTAAATTTTGACCGAGTGAACAAATTTCTTCTTTGAGATGGGGATCATCTCAAGTCTTAAGTGTGCATTTCATTCTCTGACTGAATCAAGGATGTCAGAGGCACGGACAATTTCTAGATAGTACCAGAAGAATTGAAACTTCAACTTAGGGATACATATATTCCTAAAATACTTAATTGAGATCAATTCCTCCTATAGCCAAGAAGTTAGCCTGGAGAAAATTGCACCAAGTAGTTCTCAAGATAATATTGCTCTTCTTGTATTATTAGGAAAGATTTGCTCCAGTTCATTCTTTAAGCTAATTAATGACATTAGACTGATTTGGGTTGTGGTAACAAATATGGAGAAAAGAATCTGAAGTCCATATTACTTCTCTGTGCCCTAAAAATAGGAAACCTATAGAGTTTTTGGAATCTGATATGAAAACTTTACCTCCTAGATCGGCCATATACTGATCTTCTTTGAATGTCCATCCTTGATCTTGAGGGATGGTGTGATTATCTTGTTCAGATCTCTATACTTTTATTCTCAACACCAATCTAACATTTATTTTCAGAGTCGTGAGAGGTGAAGATAGAGGCTTCAGCCATTTTCTACTATAATCTTGTTAGTATATTCTATTTACCATGCAGTTATTTCTTATGTATTCTTTAGGATGAGAAAGATGTAAAGATTCGAGAATTGACTGCTGAGCTACAACGAGAGCGAAAGCGATCGGCAGCTTATCAAGAACAGCTTGATATGGTTTTGAGAGATATGGAGGAGCATTCCAATCACCTATCAAGAAACATTGATGACATAGTTCAAAGTGTAAAAGAAATTGAATCAAAGAGGTAGCTTCTGTTGTTCTTGTTTGATATTCTAGTTGGCTTGTCTTTGTACAATTTGTTTGTGATCCCATCACCTTTTTACCACAATGTAGTCTGAATCTGTAGGTTGAGCTGAATTATTCTCTACTTCATAAAACATTAATGAAAATTAACCGGCTTTCAGATCTTTCTCTGTTGTTAGTCTGGCTTTTCTTCTTTTTTCTCGCTATGAGACCTATATTTCACTGTCTTTATCATTTGAGATACATCTTTGGAGCCGAGTCAGATGTGAACTCAAAAATTCTGAAAATAGCTTGATTCTTTTTTTACTATTCTTCTTAACAGACAAAGGGAGAGCCTGATACAATCTCTCCACGCCAATATACCTGCCAATGCAAGTCCTTGACAGTCTCATCTCTTTATACCATGCCACTTGTAGTTCATACTATTCTTCCTTCTTTCAACTGGATTTCAGAAAACACTGTTCCATTGTTCAAATTTTACGGGTTACTTTGTGAAAAATCCTGCTGTCCACTCTACTGGCCTGTCACAGATCACCAGTGGGCAAACCAGACCCGAATCACAAGCACCCATTGCCACAACCAACCAGTGACAGCCCATGGAAACACAAACTACCAGTCTTAGCTTGTCTTTCAGAAATACACAAGCCTCTAAGCTGTTGATTTCTCTTGATCTAAAGGTTCTTCCTAAGTAGACATTTGTATTAGATTTTTGCTTCGATGGATAAAAGAAAACATTTCAAAATATACACAAGGCAGATAGAAGTTCATTGCTGCCCCCAATTTCTGTACCAGGAATTCAAGTAATTGGGAGAACTTTAACTTTGAATCATAATTTCTTTCCTAAAACTTAATCAGGAGGTATTCCGATGTCTGTCGGTACCAAGATTCAAGTTGTAGTAGGGTGAGGGAATTTCTTGAGGAAATATTTGACTTGGTTTTCTGTCGTAGAATGGTTAATTAATTTGTGCTGTGGAGGGAAATAATTGGAAGTTAAAAAAAAAAAAAAAAAACCACAAAATCAGGTATTCCTCGAAACTCAAATGTGTAGGCTGACTAGTTGTCTAAGGAGATATTGTCAAACTGCATGGAAGAGGGCAGCACGCTGCCGCAAGGGCGGCACTGCCACCATGCATGGATAGTGAAATTGAATCAGAAAGTTGAAATGATTTTATTGGTCTCACTTCCATGTAACGAAAAGAGTGAAATTAACCCTACCCTTTAAGTTACAGAAGAGAACGAATGCACAGAGAAGCAACAGCAATAGGAGAATTGGTAATCGGTAATTTATCTCTCTGATGGATAGAAGGCATAGATATTTGATCAAACAGCGGTTGCTTAAAAAATACAGGCCATTACAAATCACAAGTAACAAACTTCTATAGCAGATTGGACACGACCTTGGTACGACATAGATACCCTGAATAGATGAATCTTGCTCCTGATTACTACACTGATTACTGATACAGAACAGCACTTACGTACCCAACTTAAAATTCTTTAACCAAACCCTGAGATCCTTTATCATTTGAGCTAACCTGATTGGGAATACGGAACATGACATAATATATAGTGAACAACATTGATGACAAGTAAATAAGCACCCCAATCAACACAATCACAGAGAGCGTAGCTACAGCAGTGACAGCATAATAGCTCCCACAGGACAGCTTCCCCACCTTTATCGGACGACATTAGCCATTGAAAGTGTCAAAAGCACAACCCCAGCAGTTGATGCCATCACTGAGCATAAGAAGGCAATGCCCCTAGCCCATCCAAAAAACATGTGTCCTTTGAATTTTTCAGGGGGAAAAGGTTGAGATAAACCTTGAGTGATTTGGCTACCAGGCTAGATAAGAGGAAGCAAGCAAACGATATGACTTCAAAGACGACGAGTTTCTTTGCCACCCCTGGACCTGCGTCACATTCGTGTCGATTTTCAAGGCTGTATTGGTTGCGAGAAGCCAGGGATAGCCCCACGAACACAGCCACCGTGAAGAGTGAGTTGACATTAACAAGGTCATCCAGCGCCTTCTTAAAGATTTCTTTATCGTTAACTTCAGCCTTTTTGGCCACACCAATTAGTTGGTCTAGTTTCTGCAGAAACTTTTCATCTATTTTCAGCTGTTTTGCTTGGAACTCCTCTTGCTTCCTGAAAGAACAAAGCAATCAAACTTAACGTAAATTTGATTAGTTCCTAGTTTCCAACAAACAGAAAGAGTGAGAGACAGTTGATATTTTACCCGCTCATGATCTGATTTTGTTTACTACTGTTGCAGCTTTCTCTCTGCGTCTTTGTTGGGATTATATTGGTAAAGTACTTGAAATAGAAAAAAAAAAAAAGAAGACTGCCTTCTAATGTGTTTGTAAGCTAGTCCTTTGTTGAATGTTTGGCAAGTCATGATCAACCAATCAAGTCGCTTTCTGTAAATATTGGTCGTTGGATCTGTGAAAGGACTGCAAAGAAATTGTGATAAGAAAACATTTTCAAATTTCAACCATGAAAGAGAGATGAACTTTGACAATTGATTCGAACAAGAACATCAAACAAAAACATCAAATTGATGAAATATTGTTCTCATCATAAATGTGTATGGCCCAGGTAGTAGTTGTGATGCAAATCTAGTAATTGATGAGTCATCATTCAAATCCAAAGGACTGAAGGAGACCCCAGGATTAAAATGAAAAACTTACCAAATCATATTTAAAAAAAATAAAAAAAAGTTACCTTATCCAATTAGCCTTGTTCTTTTTTAGTAAAGAAAGTGGAGTGGTTAAAAATTTTATAATACACCGGGAGTAATTAATGGCATGTATAGTAGTTACTTCATAAGTCTATTTTGAGAAGAGAGATAGACATACAAAAAAAGAGAGAAAGAAACAGGAGAGAGAAAATAAAAAAATTTGAGCGGATATGAAAATCTTCTTAACACTTTTGATGGGTATAGATGTAATTTTTATCTTTTTTTATGTGTCTATCTCTCTCTCAAAGTGGACCCATGGAGTAACTATCGTACATGCCACTAGTTACTCCTAGTGTATTATAAAATTTCTCGTGGAGTGGTAGACCCGTTGAAATATTAATTGTAATCTCTATAGATTTACTGTTCGCAAAAAAACTGAAATATATTTCAACTATTTTTATTTCTTTTTGTTTATTACTATTTTTTTTCACTGCTAAATTATTATTTTTTCAACTACTAAATTAATTTTGTATGAAATACATAAGTGCATATAATTTTGAGTTTTTTAATATCACAAAACTAACTCTTTTTATTTATTAATTAATTCTATATTGATGTATTTTTTATACATCAGTTGAGATTAGATATTTTTTTAGAGTGATTTTAAAGATATATCATACACCAATAGATTCATATAAAAAAATTTTAATAAATTTATTTATATACCAACTTTAAATTCAAGCTTGGAGAACTCACTCTCTCTCTTAATTTGTTTCGTTAGATAAAAAAAGAAGAAGAAGAAGAAGAAAAAGTGGGGGACGAAACAACTTTGGGGCTGATAAGAAAATGCCATTAACCTAGAGCACGCGCAATTTTCTTGCATGGGCCAGGCTCCGAAACAACTTCATTAGCCCACCTCATTTGGGAGGTGGGATCTGATAATTTGAAGGAGAATTGAAGACTAGCCATTGGCCTTCAATGGAAACTGTATAGTTTTTATCTTTTATCTTTCATTTCTCAAGTGTACTTCTTTTTCTTGGATTCTACTTGAACCTGGTTGAAACGAGAGAGAGAAAATAAAAAAAAGAAAAAGAAGGACTTGTTCTTCAAACGTCGTAGCCCTTTAGAATCAAAATAATTTATAATATCTTAAACAGGTGCAAAAAGTATTCGAATCAGAATCTTCCACAAACCTTGGTAACCCTCACATCCTCAAAAGTCAATTACGTCAATAATGAAACTCATCATCCATGCATCACAAGGATTTTTCAACCCATTCTTCACCATGCATTTATTTACATTGATGCCATAATGTTGTTCTGGAAGATGAGCCGTCACACATAGCCTCCTACTACAATAGTTTCAAGGTGTGGTCAGGCAATATGAAGTAATGTTTTTGGAGAAAAAGAGAGCATCAACACAGAAACTATAGACTTCCTTAGGATCGATGTATAGGAATCAACAAGATACAATAAATGTTGCAACCACACATAGAAACTCAACTCCTCAATTTCGAAGAACAAAGAATCAGCAGTTCCTTGGGATAACAACTATATGTCAAGCTTTATTCCTAAGGTACGTAGTTGAGTCCACAAGTACCCAACTTTTCCTGCTTCAATATAAGTAAAATTAACGATGGTAATAGGCAAGGTAAAAAGCTGATACTTTTTTTTATTATTTATTTAATAAATATCTATTGAAAATATTTAATAGATGATTAGGTGAATAAAAAAAAACAGTCATTAATATAGTTTTCGAATATAAATACCCATCTTATAAGCAATTTTTACCCACTATTTTTTTAAAAAATAACATATATGGACCTAATTACACTAACTTTATAAGATAAGGACCAATTTTTTTTTAAAAAAAACTTTGATGACAGAAAAAACTTATAAATAAAGAATCAAATTATTAAAAATTAATTTTAAGGACCAAAATAATTTTTAAAAAATTACGAGAACTACAATAAAATATTTTGATAAATTATTTTTAACAAGATTAAATAAGTATTAAATAAACAAATAAATTCAATATGAGTTTATAAAGTACGCGATTTTTTTAAGAATATGGACAAAATATATATTTTTTTTTTGATAAATAAGACAAAAGATTGAATTAATAAACTAAATACTTAATCCATTACCATCCCTTAATAGAATCCATCATGATAAGGAGATTTCATGTTCATGCTATAGCAAAATTGATCAATACACAATGGAAAAATTACCACCTCTCTAAATTCCTTGTAAAGGGTAGAGGGTTACAAACAAATTAATGTTAAGAGACAGTTACGTACGAAGGCAGTATTTTTAAAAAACAATCAGGACAATTGGGGATTTTTCGCTCACAAAAGATCAATCTTCAAGAGGTTAATTAGAACACCACTATCACTTTACATTCTAAGAAACCCTAGCTACTAATTAGATGAAGGATTAAAAAATTTTGTGTGGTTCCACTTGTTCAAACATCATTTTTTCTAATTGAAATCTTAATTTTACTAAATGTCATAGTTCAAACAAAAGGATTTCACCATATATATGGACAACTTCTCAATTATAAATTTGAGATCAATAGTGTATAATAATCGAAATACATAATTAATTTCAATAAAACCAACAACCTCAAATTATATATATATATATATATATATATATATATATATATATATATATATATATATATATATATGAAGGTTAATAGAGTGCAATAAAAACCAATACAAAATTGATTATGATAAAATTTGATTATATAAAAAATAAGCAAATAAAATACATGAATTTTATTTTTTTAATTGATTACTTATTTAAAAAAAAAAACTTATTCAAAAATTTAAACAAAAAAAGAAATAAATTATATTTATTAAAAAATAAAATTATATTAAAAATAGAATAAAAAATTAATTTGATGAGAATTTCTAAAAATAAAAAAAGCAAATTGAAAAGATCAATTTTAAATGATAGGAGTAATATGATTCGATATATATGTTCATTTTAAAATTTGAAAACATTTCATATGCATTTTATAATTGCCAACACATGTTGAAAAAGAAACGATTGGTTTTTCATACTTTTTCACACCGAATTCAATAAAAAAAATAAACATAAATTGCTGGAATATATATATATATATATATATATATATATATATATATATATACAGGCAAGCTTATACTTTGGTCGGTAGAAGTAGGCCCAATGAGCCCTTAAAAAAAAATAGACGACAAATTGCTCGATTAGGTAGTAACGCAAGCAACGTGTTGCCCACCTATAACTTTTGGTGAACTAGAATTCGTTGGAATCATTGCCGATCTATTTTTAGATTCGAAACTCATTTTCAGTATTATTTTTTCTCAAAACACCTCAATTTCACTCAAATAAGATCAACAAATTCATTTGAAACCTTAAAACTATTTTGATGCACATTAAAAATAAAAAATAACAAATCAAATAAAAAATTAAAAATTTTTTTTACTCCGATCTACCTTCTTCAATCATTTTACGGTTTGAAATGACTGTGAATTAAACATGGTAACGGTTCGATTCGAATCGTAAACGGAATTGAAACCGCTAAAATCGTAACCTTGATCAAACCGGACCGTAACCGGCTACCTACGAGTTGGTTATGGTTTAAGGTATCATGAAACCAGAACTTGAAACCGGAATCGACGGTTCTAAATCGATGATTAACCGTAAAACCGACGGTTTCATATTTTTCCTAATAAATTTGGATTGGGTCGAAAAAAAAATTTTAATAAAAAAACCAATTTTATATGGGATGAACGGTAGCTATTGGATTGAAAAATGAAAAAAAAAATTAAGCCTAATAATTTTTAATTTTTGGACTTAATATATATATATATATATATATATATATGTAAATTAAGTATGTGACAAACGGTCACATTTTTGTGACCGTTTGTCACAACTCAACGATCACAAAAAAGTGACCGTTTATAAAACGGTTACAAACATTTGTGACCATTTTCTATTTTTTTCTTTTCTTTTCTTTTCTATAAATACCCTCTCACTCTCAATTTTTTTCATTCTTCTCACAACTCAATCTCTCATTTTCTCGTCAATCTCTTAAACTCTTAAGTCTAGAATTCTCAATACTATCCTATAATATTTTTTATACTCCAAATACTTCTTAAATTTTTACATTTCTATTATTTTATATTATAAAAAATGACAAGATCAAGTTCACATATTTCATCACAACAAAGTAATACCGTCAATCAAAATCGAGCAGGGGAGCAACAACAACAATCAAATTTTACACCTAAATCATCCGACATCTTTAAAATTCATTTCTCAAAAGTTCGGTAGAAAAAGACGTTTTTACTCGTGATTTGCAACTACTGCAACAAGCAATACACATTCAAACAAGGAGGTGGTTATGGAACATTCAAAACCCACTTGGAGAAAAAACATTCATCCGTACTTGGTAATGATAGACATCGGACACAAATATCCGGGTTTGATTCTCAATCTTCCTCTTTATTTCGAGTATATCGATAAAAAAAATAAAGAAGAAATGGCTAAAATGATATGTGTTGATCATTTATCCGTTAGTTTTGGTCAAAAAATGGATTTTAATGATTATTGTTCTAACGCTTTGAATCCTGCTTTCAAACAAGTTGAAAGACATTCTTTAAAAAAAACAGCTTATAAAATTATATAGAGATAAAAAAGAGAATTAACCGTATTATTTACAAATTTGAATGATCGTGTTTCTATATGTTCGATATATGGTCCGATCAATGGCAAACTCACTCTTTTATGGGTGTAACTTGTCATTGGATTGATAATGAATGATACATGCAAAAACGTCTTCTTGCATATAGATTTTTTGATGATAAACATACAGCTCAAAATATATATAAAATACTAAAAAGGATTTTAGATAAATATGTTTTACCTTTAAGAATATTTTCAATTTCTTTTGATAATGCTAGTTTTAATGATGCTTCGGTAGAGTCTTTAAGAGAACTTTGTCAACCCCATCTTGGAGGTAAGTTTTTCCATATTAGATGCGTATGTCATGTTTTAAATTTATGTGTGTAATCTAGTTTGGAATATCTTAAAGATATTGTTAGATCAATTAAAGCTCTTGCTAAATATTTATGGACGCATCCCCAAAAGATGAAATCATGGGGAAAGTTTTACAAAGAAAGAAACAAAAAACCAAGACGATTTTCAAAAGATGTTCCAACTCGTTGGAATTCAATTTATGACTTACTTAGGCGAGTCATTTGAATATCGAGATTTATTATGCTTATTGTTTTCGGAAAATATTGATTCTGTTTTTATTTGTCAAAATGATTTTGATATTTGCGAACCACTTTTGGAACTTTTAAGTGTTTTTAACAATGTAACATACACTTTTAGTGTCGTTTATCAACCAACTTCACATTTATTTATGATTGAAGTAATTAATATTGTTGAAGCTTTTAATCATGTAGAACAAGATATGCCAACTTTACATGCTTCATTGTTCAAATAATGAAACAAAAAATGGTTAAGTTATTATGAAACAATTCCACCTATTTATCTTGTTGCTTTAGTCTTTGATCCTAGATTTAAAATGAAAGGTCTTTCTGTTGTTTTGAATACTTACTATGAGTATTTGCAATTATTTGATAAAAATGTAGAAATAAAAACTGCTTCTATTATAAAACAGAGTTAAAGATTTATATATTGAAATGTCTTTAACCGTGGGTGATCAACATGCTAGTTCCTCTTTACCACCTGTGCCACAATCATCATCAAGTAGCTAACGTGTTAGAGTCGGTTATCTTATGGCCATGGAAAGGACAAAAAGGCCAAGAGGATCATTAGGCTCCACTTTCAAGCTTGATATTTATCTAACAAGCTGTGTTTGAGTTTGATGATAGTAATGCAAGTGTAGATTTTGAAGTAATTGATTGGTGGACAAGACATGCGGGTACTTTTCCAGATCCTGTCCATAATA